TGGCTTTCTGGCCTAGATGAACCTGGCGAAGACCCAAGGAAGGTACTGGGGCTATGTGGGAACACTGGCCAGGACCTGAGTCTAGAAGACTGTACCAGGTGGGTGTGCTTCTCAGCAGATCTTAGCACAGCCAGGACAGCTCCCTGATTGCAGTGGGAGGGGTCTGGTCTAAGCTTGGATCTGCTGTGGGACAGAGGTTGATGAGCCTTTCAGGGAGGCTTAGACTGCCAAGGTGTGAGATATAGGCGAGTCTCCCTCTGGGTCCTTATGTCTGCAGCTCTGAGCTGGGACCTTGCCTGAGGGGGGCTGGTCAGCTGAGCCACTGGGCAACTTTCAAGTTCACTGCTGAGACTGATGTCAGCAGGCAGACAAGGCACTAGTGTGCATGATTCCTTCTGGACCCCTTGGCAGATAGTTTTGGTTGCAGGCTCAGTCCAAACAGTGTTGTAGCCAAGCCCCTTGGAGGACTGAACCATTTCCAGCCTTGAACCCAGGAGCAAGCTTGGCAGATCAGCCACCTGCGCGTCAGTCTGCACTCAAAATGACCCTGTTTTATCTGTTCTATCATCTTCTACATTACTCCTCTCTATCTATTCAGACTTTTTTTTTTTTTTTTTTAAATAGAGTTTGCTCTCCATTTTCTAGTTTCTTGAGGTATAAAGTTAGATTTTTTTTTTTTTTTTTTGAAATAGAGTCTTGCTCTATTGTTCAGGCTAGAGTGCCACGGCATCTGCCTATAGATGCAACCTCAGAGCAACCTCAAACTCTTGGGCCCAGACAATCTTCCTGCCTCAGCCTCAGTGTGTGCCACCACGCCTCGCTAATTTTTTCTATTTTTAGTAGAGAAGGGGTCTCGCTCTTGCTCAGGCGGGTCTTGAACTCCTGAGCTCAAGCGATCCTCCCGCCTCTGCCTCCCAAGAGTGCTAGGATTACAGGCGTGAGCCACCACGCCCGGCCATTCAGACTTTGGATTTTGGGAATTGTGAGTAAGAGATTGTGGACTTGTTTTAAAATGTAATCAAGTGTTAAATTAAAAGGAATTAATTATGAGCTAGTTCAGAATAAGGGAATATCACTGCGGTCTCCTATCCATTCAGGCTTTTGATTTTGGGAATTGTGACTAAGAGATTGTGGACTTGTTTTAAAATGTAATCAAGTGTTACAAGGATTTAATTATAAGTTATGTTCAGAATAAGGGAGTATCACTGTCAGCTGGTGTCAGCAGAGGGGATTTTACCTGGTTTTGAAGGTTTGGATGAGACTTTATTTTAATGACTGTTGAAACTTGGGCAACCAGAATAGCCCCTGACATGATGAGTACATAAATACATGACAAATGAGTAAATCTGTGAAGATAAGGGAAGTCTTCCCAACATACTTCCAGCAGGGAAGACTTCAGCCTGGGTGTAGTCAAGGAGGATGAAACTTACTTGGTTATTTGGGGGTGATGATCAGCAGTGTGCTCTGATTAAGGCCAATACTTTGCATTAAATGTAGGTGGATGAGGTGGGGCCCACTATGGGTGTCTTTGTGTTTCTGCCTTACGTACTGGTTGAGGCTGGCGAATGGGCTTGAGCTGATGGCTCATTCTTAAATGGGGATGGAGAGGACCTTAGATAATAAAAGTGGTTTGAAAAGTAAAAAAATAGGAAAAAAGAAGATGGTGTTTAGAATGGATCATAATTATGTTTCTTTGCAGGGACTCCTTAATAAATGTGTGTGCATGACATTCAAGAGTGTCGAAGAGGCAGCGATTAGTTTGAAATTTGAAGAAACAGGGCATTGACCTCTTACATTTGAAAAGTAACAGGAAAGAAGTCAAAGATAACTTCAAAATTCTAATACTTGGTGATTAGAAATAGTGAGCCCTTTGGCTGAAAGAGGAAAATTTGGAAGAGAAGTTAGAGAGGATATGATAAACCCACTAATATGCTTTGGCATATTGGGTGGTCTGTATTCTTAACTTGACATCTTTTGTATGAACATGTATGTGTGTGTAAAGTATGTTCCAATCCTCATTTTGTTTGTTAGTCCAGAACCTTTGAGAACAGTGTAACAAGAAACAGAAAATCTGACAACACTTGAGTGCATGCATTTTACGTGCTATTTCCAAGCTGCTTTTGTAAGAGGTTTATTTTAAATTTCATTGAAAAAAGTAAAAACTGTGTTGAGTAGCTTTAATTCCCCCTTGCACCTGTCATTATGCGTTAGCAATTAACTCTCCTTTCAGGTTGATGAATTTGAACTTGATCAATTATCTGATAGTAATTACCAGCACGGAGTGATGATTAGTGCTGAAGTAACATTCTTATTTCATCTCTCCGTGTATTTCAGGCACTTTTCATAGAGGCACGTTTGTTTTACTGCAAAGTAGGACTTGTTCTTTTGGCTTCTGGCATTGAGGTCAAACTATTTTTGGTTTCTTAAATAGAGTAGTAGTGAAGAAAAAAAATCCTCTGGTATTTTAAGCTATCTGGATATGCCCTCGTGGCTTCTAAAAGAAGGAAGGAATGAGGCTCAATTTTTGCTCCTGTAGCAGTCTCAAAAGGTCTCTGATTTTTGTTTCTTGGCTACTTCCTTTTCTTTTTCCCAACTCCTGGCAGGGCTGTGCTGCCTTTTTCTCCTCTCTTAGAGTCCGTGAGCATTCTCTACGAGGAAGGCGCATCTCTCCTGCTGTGGTTCTTCAGCATTCTGAATAGATTTATGAAAATGAAGGGCCAGCCTTCGCTCTTCTGGTTCTCTGAGCTCTAATGAGATCATTGAGAGAGAAGAGTGTATGTTTACTAGGGCTGCCATAACTAAGTATCACAAACAGTGACTTGAACAACAGAAATGACTTTCCCACCATTCTCAGGGCTACCAGTCCAATATGAAGCTGTTGGCAGGGCTGGTTTCTTCTGAGGCCTCTATGGCTTGTAGATGGTCATCTTCTCATGGTCTCTTCTCTGTGTCTGTGTCCTGCTCTCTTCTTATAAGGCCACTGATCATACTGGATTAGAGCCCACCCTGATGACCTCATTATATTGTAATTACTTCTTTTAAAGACCTGATTTCTAAATATCATCACGTTCTGAGGTAGTGGGGATTAGGACAACAACATTGGAATTTTTGGGGAACACAGCTTAGCCCATAACAGAAGCAAAAAATAGGACATTTGCAAAGCTTAAATGAGTAAGGAGGAATAAATAAAAGGCAAAAAGTAGAAAAAGAAGGGAAACAGTGATTTTTGGGAAGGATTAATGGAAGTGTGTGTGTGCGTGCCGTGAGTTAGAATCTGCAGAACACGTGTTAGTGTCATCTCATTTCCCTCCCAGCATAACGCAGGGCCCGGGATGCAGGCCTTGATCTCAGATGCAGCGTTGAGACGCAGAGAGGTTTCTTGTCTTGTTGGGAGTGACTGAGCAAGCAGTGATTTGAATCCAATTCTTCAGCCTCTGTCTAGTATTCATTTCATCACTCCAAGCTGGGAGGCAAAAAGAAAGTAAAGCCCCTTAGGCAAGTTCCATGGCCTTTTTGTTGTGTTATTTTGTTTTGAAACTTTGGAGATTTGAGGCATCATCTCCTTGTCAGCCAGTTGTGTTCTTGTTAGTTTTAACATTCATAGCGCAGAAAATAAACACACAGCCAGAAAGCCGCAACTCTTTTGAGCAGTAAATATAAGTCACATTTTTGGGAAGTCATTATTTTGAAATTGTTCAAGTATAAAAAAGTGGAGCGATTGGGACAGAGAACTCCCCATATTCTTCTCACCTAGATACGGTGATTATCGAGGTTTTGCCACAGTTGCTTCATCTGTTCCTTCCTTCCTTTTAAAGCAAATCCAAGGTTACTTTCACCCCTTTCCGATGCATGAAGAAATGGACATTTTCTTACATATCCTTAATGCTAGAGTTTCCTGATTGCTTGAAAAATAAACTTTACCATTGTTTTCTTCAGATCAAAATCCAATAAAAGACATTTGCTTAGCATACTAAGTTATGTTTGACAATAAATTTTCTTACCTTAATTTGTCTCTTTCGCCCAGGGATGTTTTGTTTTCAGGTCTCTGCAGAGTTACAGGATGCAGTGATATGGCTCATTTTGCCATATAGTTTGTGGTGATATTTATTTGAAGTTTCAGAGCTCCTCGCTGGACAGGGCCTGTAACAAGTCCCCTGAAGAAAAAAAAATACAGTTCTGCTTTAGTTTTGAATGAATTTTCATGGTTTTCAAGAATCATCCAAATAACGATTTCTTTCTAATGTACTAATCATCACCATACTTTTTAAAAGGCTAGCCTTTTTCAAGAAAAATGTAAACAATCAGTAAACATAAGAAACATAAAAGTTTTAGCACATCTTTACAAATTGCATTGGTGTACATTTCAATGTGTCTATACTTATTTTATTAACATTGACTCATTACATTTTTGTCCACGTAGAATATTGTTTTACGAGATTATTTTTCAACCACAACTCTCAAATACAAAGCTAGTAAAACAAGTTGGTAAACACTTGCTTTTGTCAAAAGTTATTTTTGTAGTCAACAGGAATGTACTAATGTTAGTTAGCAAAGGTTCTGAATGCAACTGTTTGATGACGGCTTTTAAAACATGATAGTGTTATATTTTGCTAACACTTTGTTTCTTCCAATAGGTATAAATGACCAAGGATTGTACAGAGTTGTGGGGGTGAGTTCAAAGGTCCAGAGACTTCTGAGTATGTTGATGGGTATGCCTCTTTTCTAATCATTTTTCCATGTGTTATTTGTTTATATTCATAGACTTTACAACTTTATATTTCATAGTTATGTACAGCATACTTGTGATTCCATTCTTTGCTTCTACTGCCCAGATTTTTCTCCTGAGCAGAGACGGTTGACCCAGAGAAGTAGATTAATATTTGCGTCAGCATAGATTATTGACTACCACTTATTAAGAGATGAAAGAAAAAAGAATGCAGCTCATGGTTGAATGTCATCTTATGCTTGCTTTTCACTGGAAAGTAGCACTGTCAGGCCTCTGTGATGTGCATGGCTTCCAAATTGCCTGTCCAGAATTGTGACAGTATATTTGGTTGGACAAGACCACTGGGACTCGCTTGTTTTTATGGAGCTTCCAAAACTGTCATTTGACAGCAAGGGTCTGATTCTCAGGGATTCATTGGTATTCACAGTGGCTTGTTTGTAGTTCACACCAGGCTCTTCTCCAGAACCATGCATGCTCCATCTGTGCTGATAACACTGTGTTCTTTGGCATTGCAGACTAGAGGAAGCCAGAAAGTGAATTCATTTCATTACCCCAGACGTTATGTGAATGACAAAGCGTTTTTACATTACACGCTGCTGTCACTTCATTGCCACCTGTAAGACACTCCACTTCTCTCCCACCCCAAAACAGGCTGCCTCTTGAGGAGTGATGATAACTCATCAGGCGAGGGCCTGCATATCAAACCAGTCCGTCATTATGATCTTGCTACATGTTAATTTATTTGATATCTCACTTTAATTAATCAATATTAACAATGCCCTCAGGTGTGCTGGGAATGCATTTAAACCTGTCTGCATCTCAAAGTATTAACAGCAAAGGCTCATTTTTATGAAGCGTAAACCAAGATGAATAAAATCAACTGACGTGTTATGGATAGGATTGCTTGTTTTTTCTGTATTTGAATTAAGGATTTCATAAGCAACAACCTTTTTTTAGCTATTAACCACGGGAAAAATTGTCCATCATCAGTTGGAGAGCCTTATTAGAATACATTCACTTTCATGAGCTGTTTTCATTTTCTGCCTCTCTGGGTTAAGTTGGGTGTGCAATTTTGGCAGTCAGATTTTCCTTTCTACCATTAGTGGTCTCCAAATTAAATAGACTCGGGTTGCCAGTGGTGCAGTAGCAGCTGGAAGAGTTTAATGGGACTATAGCATCTGCTTTTACTTAATTTTAAAATTAGAAACACTTTTTTCATTTCCAAGATGGTGTTATATGATTAGAACTGGAAGACTGTATTGGTATCAGAATGGGAAATTTTGGCTGAAAGGCCTATTTTGGCAGTAAATTGGTCATAAGGACCCTGGCATTATTTCTATTATCTTCTTGTTCACGTTCAAGAAAAGTTTGAACAAGGGTGTTTCTGTGGTCACCTCGAAGTGCTAAACTGCCTCAAAATTTGTTCTTAGTCTCATAAAATCCTACATGTACAGCATTGCTGAACTCAGGGTGGTAGTTTCCTCTGCTTATGGGAAATGTCCCAAGGCAGTCCTTAACTTACAAGGTGTTTTTAAATGTCTAAACCCTCAAAATTTCATAACCTGGAAAACTGTTTTTACTTTTCATGAGCCTCAGAGTAGAGAAGTCCAGGACATAAGCATGCCACAACCTCATTCAAGGTGCTGGCAAGGGAAATGCTGTGTTTTCAGTAATGTCATTCTGCAAACATAGGAAGTTAGAGAATTGATGTCAGAGAGAAATGCCGACTTGTTATTTCTTCATTAAGTAATTCATTTAAGAGGGCTACACAATATAAATTTGTTTTAATTAATCTGTAAAGATTTCCTAATATGGACAGTGATGTAGAACCTCTTATACTTTCCTGGATTAAACTTAAGCCCATTATCCAAAGTGAGGCACCACAAGATTGGAAGAATGGGCTCCACGTGTACTCGCCATCAAATTGGTACTAACTGATCAACACCAGGGTGATCACATGGCACTAATACTCTCCAGGGATTAGGGGGATTTGAGGGGGGTAAACCCACAACTAAAGGACATGGGGAGCACTGTAGGGGGGAAGGGCATGCCTTTAACCGTCGCTTGAGTGAGGCAAAGACATAAAATGTAGCCATGTTTGTACTCTCATAATACCCTGAAATAAAAAAAAAAAAAAAGATTTCCTAGTATGAACTTCAGATTGTCAATCAAAACTTTGGATTTTCGTTAGCATTAATGCCACTTTCTTGTTACTTTATATTACCAACAGAAACCTTGGTTCTCAACAACAGATTTACTCATTATTTCCTAATCAATCTAAGATTTTCTTAAGATATATATTTCCTTTTCTCCTTCTTGAGTGTTCAAATTGAAATAATTTAATATCTCTTCCATAAAGAGGATTTTAGAGTTTTGAATAGTCATATAATGTAGCCATGTTTGTACTCTCATAATACCCTGAAAGAAAAAAAAAAAAAAAAAAGATTTCCTAGTATGAACTTCAGATTGTCAATCAAAACTTTGGATTTTCGTTAGCATTAATGCCACTTTCTTGTTACTTTATATTACCAACAGAAACCTTGGTTCTCAACAACAGATTTACTCATTATTTCCTAATCAATCTAAGATTTTCTTAAGATATATATTTCCTTTTCTCCTTCTTGAGTGTTCAAATTGAAATAATTTAATATCTCTTCCATAAAGAGGATTTTAGAGTTTTGAATAGTCATATATGCATAATTCCATAGATAGCGATTCTCTCCAGCTTTTCCCACATCTCTGCATTGTTTCAAGGTTACATATGTATCCTAATGAGGAAAAAAAATGGAAAGCCATTTTATATTTTTCAAAATCTGCCATTTACTTTACTTGTCCCTCTTTAGTTCTTGAGAGCTAATTACTTCCTTTAGTTTTTTTTATTACTGTCACTTTTACATAGAATGTTTTGTATTGTTGATTAAAATATTTTAAGTGTTCTTTAAATACTCATGTGAAAGTTTATGATGATTTCTGAAGAAAGGGTATATGCTTAATCTCTTGCATGTTTTCTTTTCACTTGTCTCCTTTTTCTGGTATATTTTTCCCCTTCACATTTAGTATTAAAATACAGAAAAATGTTTCTTTCCATTATTATTTTCCTTTTTTCCTCCTCTTCTCCCCTCTCCTCCAAACTTTTCTGCTCAACCCACTCCTCCTAACCCCATTCTCCCCAACATGAAAGCATACTGGCAGTTGACCACAGGACGTTCTCTAAATAGAGAAGTCATTTGTACCTCCTCCAGGCCAGGTAAAGGAGTGCGTAGCTGCCCTCCTTCCCCTGCTGGTGAGAGTTGTTTGCCTTCTTAGTTGTCGTCCACCCTGGGAGCAGAAGGGAATAGTTAGTTGGCTGGATTCCCAGGGAGCCTTTGCCTGCACCAAGCTGCTTAAGTTTCGGAAAGAAAATGCCCACGTGAGCAATTGCTTTCCTTTCATTTACAGGTCATTTTCCTTTTCTTCCCCTTTGCAGTCTAAGACAGGACACACACAGTCTGCTAAAAGTTTGTTGTTGTTGTTGTTAAAGTAGAAACTTGGAGCAGTTGGGTAAGGCAGGGAAAATATTAGATGAGGTATCTTTGGGTGGTGAGTCATGGTTCTTTAGTAGATGGGGAGAGAATGTAAAACATCAATTGTAATAGTTCATGGTAGATGAGAACTGATATGAGTTAGAATGTCGTGTATTCTTCCCCCCCTTAGAATTTGTGAGAAAATGTAGTGTGGTAGCTTATGTGCTTTGGTGAACTCAGTGATTATTTCTCAATCTAATTTGCAAAAAAGGCTGGATGATTTTATTTATTTTTGGACGTAGAACCGTAGAAAACAAGAAATAAAAAATTTGTAGAGTTTTACTTTAAAAATATTACCTTGTTTAATTTGTTTATACAACAGCTTTGTCACATAGATTGGGGAAAAAATGAGCAAATGTAGCTGAAACAATTCTAATTTTTGATTATATAAGCATATTTTCAAAATTCATCCAGTCACTCTGCTTCTTCAAGTACTTTAAAATTGGACCCAAGTCAGTGTTGAGTAGGGCGCTAGCAGCTGCATGAAATGGCACTTTGCATTTAGGTTGCACTGCAAGTTTCTAGTTTCAAAAAATTACCAGTGGTTATGTAAGTGTGAACCACTCACCCAAATAAAAAGTCATCTCTTTGTATCTCTGCTTGTTAGTTTAGATTTTTAACTAATCCATGAGATATTGTTCCTTGATCAGAAAGAAGGAACAATTTTTACCTTACTTATAATAGAGCGCGTATTCTGAATGAACTCTCCAAATGTATTTTTATATTTGAATCCCAAATAAATTACTAAATTCCATCTAGTCCCAGCGCATCCACTGATGATTGTAAAGGACTGCTGGTGATGATTGAATTATTTGAAAACAGTGAGAATTTAGGAGAGGATTAGTAACATAGACACTATGTAGTCATTAGCTTCTGATGTGACAGTTGCTTTGTATTCCATGAATTTAGAAGGATGGCTTATTTTTCCATACAAAGAATACAATTCTCAAAATATAGAATGATAATTTGGTAGAAAGCTGGAAATAAAAGATTTCCTTTAGAAGCCTCTTGGATTTTTAAAAAGGTGATTTGCTGGTAGCAAGTTGATTGAAAATGTTATCTGACTTGTATGTTAAAATGAGATTTAAATAATTGATTTAATGAGAGAGAGAATATTCAGTTACTGAAGTAATTGGTTGGCAAAAAGCCTTTAGAACAGAATTATTTAGACCTAGTTATTAAGGATCGCACCTTTAATCAGGGTGCTTAATTTGATTTCTTGAATGTATCTGTGGCTTGTCTGACAAGCTCAGTAACAAATGAGTTCTGAATTGTAGGAACTGATCAAAATGTAATCAGTGTCAATTGCCATTGTTGTAGTTTATTGCATATTGCTGTCAGTTGCTGTAATCAAGAGATGTTGAAGTGCTTTAAAGTCTCCAGAACTTTGAGTAATTGACTTCATATGTACAACGTTATGGCTGTGAAATAACCATCCCTTCCTGTTTTACTTGATCTTCAAAAAAAGTTTGAGACCAACATTGAGTTGTCATCCATTCTTCATCATGCCCAAGCCTAAAACTTTTTAAATGGCATGCATGACTTAATATGGTGGTCCCATTTTGACAGGTTTTTCTTTTTAGTGCTTTTAAAAAGGAAATACTAACAAGATGTTTCCTTCTCTGTGTAGACAAATACAGTATAAGGGGGAAAAAACCCCTGAAACAACTAGTTTTTGTTTTAGTTGGGACATCATTCTGGAGTGAGGGAGAAATAGTCTCTTCCATGAATCTCTTATTTTTTCCTTTGCATAATAGGAGTGTAGAAAACCAGTCAAGTTGATACTGATGGCTCAGTATCATTCATCATAGTCCATTTCCCGCCTCCTCCCTTTGAGTAGGTACCGTCACTGATTGCTTATACTTTTTGGTGATGAAGTTGTGGAAATAATCTGCTACATTTAATAATTTATGAAAATCTGTATCCATTCCTCATTTGCTTTGATGCTCCCAGTAGTTTTCACGAGAGCATTTATGTTCTCTCCACTGTGCAGACGAAGACCTGAAATTTGGATAGCTTTGGAACCATTTGCTTGGGCTGGCCTGGCTGGTGCAGGCTGGTGCAGGCACTTAAGCCCGGGTTTGTGATACCAACACTGCACTTCTCCCTGCGGCCAAGCCACAGCTGAGTGTACTAGCCCAGAGTTACAGGGATCAAAGATGTCACCATACTCAAGAGTGTTTGCCTTTCTTGCTATCCTTTCCTTTTATTTCAACCAGGATGGACTTTTCCCTTTTCATAATTTACTAATTCCCTCATGTCCGTGTGGGTGTGTGTGTGTATGTGTGTGTATGCCACACGCCTTAGAACTTACTAGCCATTTCAAAGGGAAGGCATTGGGAAGAAACACATCATTGACACATTTTTAGGACAAAACTAGTGTAGTTTAGAGCGAATGTCATTAAGTGTCCCATAGAGGTTTCCAATAAATATTTCCTGGATGAGTATATACATTGTAGCCTTAGTGTGAAAGATTGCCCACAAATGACTTTTTAAGTTTATGTGTAATCATATGTCTGTTTTGGCTGATCATATGTTAATTTGCAGAAAGATAATATAATGAACACAAACCTTGGAAGTGTTTTGGGCCAGTTTTATCATCCCTTCCCCCACTGGCTTGTTGCCATTCCGATAGTCGTTTTGCCTTCACAGTGCCACTCTCTGTTCTCCCTGTCATAACACAGTGTGAGAGCAATGATGCCACCTGAAACAAGTTAAACTGTGCTCGCCCAACTGACATGCCACGTACTCTAAGCCAGCAGTCCCCAGCCTTTTTGGCACCAGGGACCATTTTGATGAAAGACAGTTTTTCCATGGACTGAGGAGTGGGGGGGGATGGTTTCAGGATGATTCAAATGCATTACGTTTATTGTGCACTTTATTATTATTACATTGTATTAATAGTGTATAATGAAATAATTATACAACTCACCATAATTGGGGGACCCCTGCTCTAAGCCATGACTGCTGAGCAATACCTTTGACAACACTAATGATAATAGCTGTACATTGATGATAATAGCAGTCATGGATGCTATACTGTACTGTTTCTGATTCTTTCTTACTCCCAGCCCAACCCTTGTCCTTTTGCTTTGATCTCTATTACGGGTTTTCAGAAGTGCTAGAAATGTCTAGTAGTGGAACCTGGCTTATAGCATTTTAAAGAAACTGTATATAATGTTTTCGTAGGAAACCACAGGATTAATTATTTGTGGTTTGGTCATTTAAAAATGAAAGCTTTATGAGCTAGTTAAGGGGGCCTCAATTTGAATGTTCAAGGTTTTAATTATTTTTTCTTGCTTGCTCGCTCACTAGATGTAAAAACATGCAATGAGGTGGACCTGGAGAATTCCATCGATTGGGAAGTGAAGACAATAACAAGTGCCCTCAAACAGTATTTGAGGTAAGCTCCTCTAATGAGAGGGAAGAATGGACTATTTGGATATGTAACATAAACAGATGTCAACTCTGTACATAAATATCAATAATTAAACCTTATTAAAAAGGGTAAAATTTATGAGGTGTCTAATAGTGTTCCAGAAAGTAAGGTAAATGGTAGAGGAACGTCAATTGTTAAGTAAATTGCAATGGAACAGAAATTGGAATAGACTTGGCTTTTAAAATAGATGTCTGTTGTAGATGTGAGTTATAAGAATTAAACACTATGAAACTACTTGTTATTGAGGATTTATTGAATAAAGGCAACTTACTGAATTCCTCTAATTATATTTTAGGTTAAAATGAAGATATTTTATTTTAAATTTAAGCCTTATGATAACATGTAAACACCAAGCTATTAGAAAAGAAGTTTACTTGATGAAGTCTTAAGGTATAGTTTTCTATTTATTGTAGAAAATATTTAGGACTAGAGTTAGAAGAGGGTTCAGCATTTTTATGAGTCATTATCCTTTTTTAAAAAAAAAGGAATGTAATGATAAGTTTGGGATTAGATGAAGAATAGATATATAGAGAGTAAAGAAAAAGAAGTGAATAAAAGGGTGAAAAATCATAACTGTAATTCCCATGCAGTGGTTCCATCGGAGACTTGGATGTTTGTATGGCAAACAAGTGGCAAGACTCCCATAGGATCCGCTCTTTTTTGTTGTTTGTTTTTTGGTTTTTTTTGTTTTTTTTTTGATGAGATAAGGTCTGGATATGTTGCCAGGGCTAGAGTACAATGGCACCATCATGGCTCACTGCAACCTCAAACTCCTGGGCTCAAGTGATCTTCCTACCTCAGCCTCTCATATGGCGGGGACCACAGGCACGTGCCACCATGCCTGGCTAATTTTTCTTATTTTTTGTAGAGTTGGTGGTCTTGCTATATTGCCTAGGCTGGTCTTGAACTCCTGGCCTCGAGTAGTCCTCCTTGGCCTTCCAAAGTGCTGGGATTACAGGCGTGAGCTCCTGCGCCCGGCTGGATCAGTTCTTTTAAACCATACATAGGGGTTGTTTTTCAGGTAAAAATTACTTAGGTTCCAATATGTACATTAGAATCAACTTATATTACATGTTTTGCATTTTTAAAAAATAAGGAAAAATTTCAAATAGGTAAGACCAGAGAGATTAGTGTAATGAACCCTCATGGCCCTCTTATCCCGCTGCTTGAATTATCAACGTTTCACCCTTCTTGATTCATCAATCGCCCTACCTGCCGCTTGTTAAAGATAATGCTTTAAAGATTTTCCAAAACATGTTACTGAAGCTATAAATAGTTGAGTATTTATCTCAAAAAAGATAGACTTTTAAAAAAAGACAATCAGGATATTATACCCAACAAAATTAATATGCAGCACTC